AGAAAAAAACATTACAATTCTAGCAGTTGCTGACCCATATACTCTGAGGCAAAAATTCTCACTCAAGAATTTGGGATGGAGAAACTTTTTTTTTTTTTTTTTTTTTTTTTTAAAAACCAAGAAATCTCTCCTTGCTAGTTACTGATTCATCAATTGATGGGCCAATGAAAAAGCACTGCCATATCTTTTCCCTTTATTTTGTGGGACCTGTGACCATCAATTGACCCTATCAAATATATCGTATTTCTGAAATACAAAATATTTCCAACAATCTGTGTGGTATCCCCCCCCCTCTGAATCCTTAATTTATTCCACTATTTTACAAGCTCAATAAAGTTACAAATGAAGTTGGTTTCTACCAACTGAGGCGAATTAAGGACTGTGTAAATAAACAATGACTATTGATAAGGCTAGGTAAAGACATCTGAATCCTGACTTATTAGTTGAATTTTGATCTGAAATTTTCAATGTATAATGTGATAAATATTCAGCATTGAATTAATAAGGGGGGAAATTATAGTTGCATAAAATAAATGAGTTAATAATAATAGTAACAATGAAGAAGCACTTCCGGGACCAAAGTTATTACTTTTATTTTGTTACTTTTTAGTTATTATATTTGGGAGTTGGAATAAAGACCTGGAACTGTACATGCATTTATGTTGACTGCTGCCTAATTGAAGCATGAGAGTTTGTTATTGAACACATTTGACTGGATAACTTTTAGTAATTGATGTTCAAGATAAAAACAATTACATATATACTTGAGTATAGTGTGAGCTTTTATGATCAGTTTTTTTTTCTTTCTTTTTTTACACGAAAAAAAAAAAAAAGTAGGGGTTGCATTTTCAGTGACTAGTTGCACTATACACAGGTAAATTTTTTCTGGATGTCTAAAATTCACGCAAAATATTCAGGGGTCACACTATACATGAAATCAGCTTATATACAAGTATATATGGTATGCTGAATAATATTTATTGTGTAAAAATTTTTTAAAACTACTTTTTTTTTTTTTTACCATTTTATACACACACAAATCTATATACATACATATATCTATCTCTTTCCCTTGCCAGTAGTTTAACATTGCCTGAAGAGAAACATTCATGTGTTGAAACGTAATCATAATTGCATAGTGATTTTTAAAATGTTATGTAGTGAAATCATACTCCATTTGTTCTCATTTTACCTGAATATATATATATATATATATATATATATATATATATATATATATATATATATCATTCACAAAAATCATTCAAATGTGCTGTGCATCAATAATAGAATTCCAGTACCAAACAAGTGATAGAATTTTTAACACAAGACAAAGTAATTAAACCTTTCAAGCACATTGTCTCTGAAAAGTGAGAATAGAAAGGAGGTTTTTGTTTTTTGATTTTTTTGCATTGCAGTCAACAGTGAATAATAAGAGCAGCCTGAAATTCAGTTTGGTACCAGCAAATTTCTGCTTGTTTCCAAAAGATGGTGATGTGCACAAATTAGTCACATACAAACCAGAAACTTTCTTGATGGACAGAATGAAAAAGTTAAGCGAACATTTAGAAGAAAAACAAAACATTCAGGATTAGATGAGGCACATGTCTTTGAATTTTGAAGAGAAATCAATTTATGTTGATACCAGTTTCATTATTCAATCTGGTCTAAAACTTGTTTTATAGTATTTATAAAGACTTTACATATCAATTAACGCTTGTAATTTTGAAGAGAAATAAATTGACTTCATTTTCATACCAGTTTCATTATTTTATCTGGTCTAAAACTTTTATAGGACTGGAATCCTCATTTCTAAACTAACCTCCTTATTTAATGGAAAAACAAAAAGAAAGAAAAAGGGTTACCATATGTGATTTGTCCATCATTGTCCGAATCTATTGCTAAAAACAGCTGCTGAGTTTCTTCATGTGTCATCCTGAACATGTGCTTAAAAATGCAGCTTAAGTTGTTACTAGAAACAAATCCTTTCTGACGGTTCTCAAATAACTGAAAGAGAAAAGCATAACAATATTTTAGTCAGGAAGCACAGAATCTCTCACACAAGAAATATAAAAAAATAAATTGCATAAACAGGATTTGAACATGTTTAAAGAAAAAAAAAAACTATTTTAATAAAACTTAAATTACTGAATCCATTTATAAACTATCAGCTTGAAGGAAAAAGTTAAAATTTCAAGTCTGTTCGATACAAATATTAGAATTTTATATTTTACCTTTCATCTGTTCAAAAGGAAAGTAATTTACAAAACTCATAATATTCAATATTCTTTCCCCACCCCCCATTTACCATGTATACTTGGATTTTCAGAAGTAATACATTTTTTATTTATTAATCTGACAGATTTTTATCACTTAAATGTTATTTTTTAATAGATACCCATATTTAAGTAGACACCATTTTTATTTTCAAACCTTATTGTCTACCAGCCTGAATATTTGAGAAATCTTATTAAAGAAAAATATGCAACTTCCAGCAGGATTTGAACCTGAGTCCCCCTTAGAAGAAGCAATCATTGAATTCAGCGTGCTTATACTAACTCATTACCAATCAAGCATGGCCTTTAAGTGAAATTCTTCTCATCACAGATTCTCGAAATTTCATATCTGCTCAGTTTCATATCCAATTGTAAACAGGGCAATTTCTAAAGTAATGTTTTTTTTTTTATTTATTCATCCAACAGATTTTTATTACTTAAATGTTATTTGTGGCTGAGTTGGTACAAGCACATTGGATCTAATGATGGTTTCTCCTACCAAGGGGTATGCAGGTTCGAATCCTGCTGGAGAGAGCATATTTTTCTTTAAGATGTCTCAAATATTCTGGCCAAAAGATAGATAAATAAATATACAGTTTAAAAATAAAAACAGAGCATCTGCTCAGATATAGGTATCCACCAAAAATAACATTTAAGTGATAAAAATACACTTACATATGAATCAAATTAAAACTTACGACATTACTCTTAAAAATTATGAAGGTAGTCAAACTAGTAAACTAATCCTAATAAATAGACTGTACATGATAATTATAATAAACAAGTTCTTTAGCCAAAATTAGTAGTTAGTTTAGACGAGAAACTTGGATGTAATCATGTATGGTTAGTTGTGGTTTTAAATCTGACAACAGCTGCTAAACTCAGCAGTCACTTGATAAGCATATGTAGCTTTTTGTCCATATAATGATATGCATCTAAACAAAATTAAACAATGAAATGGTGGTAAAATAAAAACTGTCAAAGTGAGCTGAAGGAAGATCAAAGAAATATTGATCCAAAGAGAAATTAGTAGATGCTTACAAAAACAAGGTTGACACTGTCAGGGAAAGAGAAAAATAAACATCCTTTGTGAAATGTACTATGAAAGTGCAGAGTAGTTTCAAAATGTGAACAGAATATAAATGCCTATTTGTGCATCAATTTTCTTTTGTAATGGAGAATCAGGTCATTGATGTGGTGCAGTAAGCACCAGGAGTTACGCCCCCTTCCACAACTGGCTGTTAAGAGAGGACATTCTACTTACTCACAGTTTTACTTCTAAGTAGTTTCTTTAAGAAGGTTCAGAGTTTGAAAAAAATAATATGATCAAATTATCCAACTGTCTAGTATGTCATGAATCCTTCATAACATTTATATGTTTGTTTCATTAGTGGCAGATCAAATCCTTATGGGTCATTTAATGCTGAAATTTAATTTTCTTGGAAGCATTAGTAATTTGCCAAGGTAGACCTGAGAACAACAGCAATTAAGAGGTGGTTCCATGCTCCTCAAAAGCTCCTGATCAGAGGTCTTGCTGCCAGATGTAATTTATCATTATGAGTCCTTTATGAAATTTGTTTGGTAATGTGGTTGTGCCAATTGCATTTATTAAGGACAAAAAAAAAACAAAAAAAAAAAAAACAAACAAACAAACAAACAAAGTCTCAATTTATTCTGGTTTTGGGTTGAGAGCTTGACAAAAGATCAGTGAGAAACTTTATCCAAATATAACCAGGAACTGTGGAAAAACATCATACCTGAAACATCATTTTCACCGTGTCATCAACACTTGCCGGCCCGGACACAAGACAGAGGCTCACCACATATTCCCGGAAATCAATTTTACCAGATTCAACCTGAAGCAGGGAAAAAAAAGAAAACATAAAAACCATTACAGATTTAAATATAAAATTTTAGCTTCAGAACAGCTTTTGTATATAGGTATTTTTCTTAATTCAAAATGCTCATCTTGAAGAGTGGCTGTTATTTAATTTACTTGAAAGCACAAAAACCTGTCAAGTCCCACCACCTTTGATATTTATCAAAAAAAAAAAAAAAAAAAAAAAAAAAAAAGTGCCTTGAGGGGATAGTGTGACCTTATATCTGGAAACAGGATTCTGCACCAGTCATAACTGTCAGATAATTTCTGTGACCCCATCACCCCTTACATCAGGCTACCTAACTCTGCAGACTACAACCTCCTTAATTGCTATGTGTGGGGCACAGGTGAGCAAGAGAACAACAAAACTGTTTATAACACCAAAGATGAACTGAAGGCAAGGATTATGGCAGCATTCACCAATTTAAACAGGGAGACTGTCTAGAACAGTTGCAGGCTATTCTGAAGTTGTCTGGAGGCCATGGTTGAAGCCAATGGTGATTTTATTGAATAAATTTACTCTTCAGTATTTCAAGATATATTTGTGTAGTTTTGATAAATATATCTGTAAAAATGACATGTCAGTTATAATTTTTTGCATAACAAACGACAATTTATCCATATAAAATACAAAATGTAATTTTATTATATATAATAACGGTAATATAACTATTCCCCGAATGATTTTGAAAATGTCCATGATGTTTCTGTTAAAGACAAATTACTTACTTGATTGTAAAAATTAAATAATTTTTGTACGTTTTCAGATTTGGGAAGGTCGAGATAATCAGCAAATTCTTGTAAATTGACAGCGTCTATGGATTGATTTAAGACATGACTGTAACACTTTTCTAATAAGTCTTTCATGGCATCAAAGCTGAGAGAGAAAAAAAAAAAAGAAAAAAATTTGTCAATGGAAAGATTATATATATATATATATATATATATAGCGGGGGAAGAATAGAGAGAGAGAGGAAGCTGAAAAGAGAGAGAGAGAAGAGGAAGAAGAAAGTGAGAGAGAGAAGAGGAAGCTGAAAGTGAGAGAGAGAGAGAGAGAGAAGAGGAAGCTGAAAGGAGAGAGAGAGAGAAGAGGAAGCTGAAAGGGAGAGAGAGAGAAGAGGAAGCTGAAAAGAGAGAGAGAGAAGAGGGAAGCTGAAAGTGAGAGAGAGAGAGAAGAAGGAAGCTGAAAGTGAGAGAGAGAGAAGAGGAAGCTGAAAGGGAGAGAGAGAGAAGAGGAAGAAGAAAGAAGAGGTTAGAGAGAGAGAGAGAGAAGAAGCTGAAAGTGAGAGAGAGAAGAGGAAGCTGAAAGTGAGAGAGAGAGAAGAGGAAGGAAAGAAAGAGAGAGAGAAGAGGAAGCTGAAAGTGAGAAGAGAGAAGAGAGAGAAGAGAGAGAAGCTGGAAGTGAAAGGGAGAGAGAGAGAAGAGGAAGCTGAAAGAGAGAGAGAGAAGAGGAAGCTGAAAGTGAGAGAGAGAAGAGGAAGCTGAAAGTGAGAGAGAGAGAAGAGGAAGCTGAAAGTGAGAGAGAGAGAAGAGGAAGCTGAAAGTGAGAGAGAGAAGAGGAAGCTGAAAGTGAGAGAGAGAGAAGAGGAAGCTGAAAGAGAGAGAGAGAAGAGGAAGCTGAGAGAGAGAGAGAAGAGGAAGCTGAAAGAGAGAGAGAGAGAAGAGGAAGACTGAAAGTGAGAGAGAGAAGAGGGAAGCTGAAAGAGAGAGAGAGAAGAGGAAAGAGAGAGAGAAGAGAGAGAGAGAGAGAGAGGAAGCTGAGAGAGAGAGAGAGAAGGGAAGAAAATGAGAGAGAGAAGAGGAGAGAGAGAGAGAAGAGGAAAAGAGAGAGAGAGAAAAGAAGAGGAAGCTGAGAGAGAGAGAGAAAGGAAGTTGAGAGAGAGAGAAGAAGAGGAAGAGAGAGAGAGAGAGAGAGAAGAGGAGAGAGAGAGAGAGAGAAGAGGAAGCTGAGAGAGAGAGAGAGAAGAGGAAGCTGAGAGAGAGAGAGAGAAGAGGAAGCTGAGAGAGAGAGAGAGAAGAGGAAGCTGAGAGAGAGAGAGAGAGAGAGAGACGAGAGGAGGACTTCTGAGAGAGAGAGAGAGAGAGGGTTCTGAGAGAGAGAGAGAACTTGCTAGAGAGAGAGAGAGAGAAGAGGAATTTGAGAGAGAGAGAGAGAAGATTCCATTTGAAGAGAGAGAGAGAGAGAGAGAGAGAGAGGAAAGAGAGAGAGAGAGAAGAGAAGCTGAGAAAGAGAGAGAGAGAGAGAGAGAGAGAGAGAGAGAAGAGAGAAGAGAGAGAAGAGGAAGCTGAGAGAGAGAGAGAGAAGAGAGAAGAGAAGAGAGAGAGAGAGAAGAGGAAGAGAGAGAGAGAGAGAGAAGAGGAATTGAGAGAGAGAGAGAAGAGGAAGATTGAGAGAGAGAGAAGAGGAAGCTGAGAGAGAGAGAGAGAGGAAGGAGAGAGAGAGAGAGAGAAGAGGAAGAGAGAGAGAGAGAGAGAGAGAGAAAGAGAAGGAAGAGAGAAAGAGAGAGAGAGAGAGAGAGAGAAGAAGGAAGAGAGAGAGAGAGAGAGAAGAGGAAGCATGAGAGAGAGAGAGAGAAGAGGAAAAAAAGAGAGAGAGAGAGAGAGAGAGAAGAGGAATTTGAGAGAGAGAGAGAGAGAGGAAGTTGAGAGAGAGAGAGAGAAGAAGAAGAGAGAGAGAGAGAGAGAGAGAAGGGAGAGAGAGAGAGAGAAGAGGAAGAGAGAGAGAGAGAGAGAGAAGCGAGAGAGAGAGAGAGAGAGAGAGAAGAGGAAGAGAGAGAGAGAGAGAGAGAGAGGGAGAGAGAGAGAGAGAAGACGTAAAGAGAGAGAGAGAGAGAGAGAAGAGGAAGTGAAAAGAGAGAGAGAGAGAGAGAGAAGAGGAAGCTGAAAGAGACAGAGAGAGAGAGAGAAAAGAAAAGAGACTTTGAAATTGACAGAGAGAGAGAGAGAGAGAAGAGGTAGCTGAAAGTGACAGAGAGAGAGAGAGAGAGAGAAGAGGAAATTTGAAAGTGACAGAGAGAGAGAGAGAAAAGGTTCTGAAAGTAAGAGAGAGAGAGAGAGAGAAGAGATCAGACAGACAGAGAGAGAGAGAAGAGGTAGCTGAAAGTGACAGAGAGAGAGAAGAGGTAGCTGAAAGTGACAGAGAGAGAGAGAGAGAGAGAGAGAGAGAGTAGAGGAAGCTGAAAGTGAGAGAGCTTTACTCTTTGTCTTCCCAATTTTAAAAAAAAATATAGTTTAATTCCCCAAAGTATTCCACCCACCAAATTGTCCTTTTCTTGTCTCCTAGGAAGCAGCAAATTAACATTTGTACAAAGGACTGATATTCATATCTGAAGCAAATACTTTCACAAGAGCTTGTGATTGGACACTGGAAGATGGGATGGCTGGGTTTTCTCTCAAAGAGGATCCTTTCTTTGGATGTCTCTTGGAACTCAAGCTTTCCCTCGAACTCAAGTGGAACTTATATATGCAATCTATTGCCAAAGATACTGAAACAATGGCCATTATACCACTCCAGTAAGTATCTGACAGCCTGCTATATATACTCTATTTTTACAAGAGCCAGATCAGACTAAAAATGGCGCATTGCTGCCATATTTGGGTTGGAGCTACCCAGTCCTCACTTGCCTGTCTTGATAGAGTTAAAAACCAACTATGCAAACTTGTGGGTGATTAATTATTTTCCACCCTACAACCCCTTTCCCGTTGCAAGCCTCACACCCCTTTATTGCTATTTCCCTGGCATGTGTTCTGACGAGCTACATTCCTTAGTCACAACAGTCCTGATCTTTACAAGTGGAACCTGTCATACCACCTATACAAGTATGAATCATCCTCATTCCCTTTGTATTCCATTAATAAGGAGGAAATTCCACTGACAAGAAGTGCTGCTTTTGTGGAACAGACTCATGATAGGATGTTTTCCCTATCACTACAAATTTGCCCTTTTTAAGTTTAGGTTTAACCATTATCTTTCCTGCATAACCCTGAAAACTTCATACCTTTTTTTTTTTTCATGGTCATACAATGCCATACAGTTCTCTCTAACTTGAGTGGCTCTTTGGCCTTGTATTGGGTGAACATTAGTATAAGAAAAATTTGTCATGTACCAAAGAGTTTTTGTGCTGATGGTTGGCTTTGAGGCCATGGACCTCAGTTACCAATCAGGCACTGAGAAGGCTGGTGGTAGTTTGCTAATGGTCCAGGGTATGTTCATCTGGTATGGATTGGGTCAGCTACTCCACCTAAACCCAGTGACTGCTAGGTTGCACCCATTCATGAACACAACATATGCCAATAATGAAGAGCTATTGCATCAGGACAATGCAGCAAATCATTAGATCCAAATTGCCAAGAACTACAGTGCAGTGAACCACCCTCATTCCCTTCATATTCCCCTGGGGAGATCTAAGTTCCACTCAAACAGCTTCTTCCCACAAACCACTGGCTTTTGGAAGTGACTTGCAAGAGATTACTTCCCCAGTCACTACAATCTTAACCTATTCAAGTTTAGGGTTAACTTATCTTCAACTCATATTTGGATAAGCTGTGCTTTTTACTATGTAAGCATCTATCTTGAGTGACCCTCAGGCCTTACACAGGGTGAACATCACTGTAAAGAAAATAAACAAATTGGTTTCAAGGAAATTCTTAAAAATGTTGTGGCCACTACATTCACTTGATGATTCACAGTGGAGAAGTTTATTCATATACAAGATACTGCACTTACAAATAAAGCTTTAAAGTGGTAGAAATGATGTGACAATTTACTCTACTACACTGGGATAGAAGAGTTTGTACACAATATGAGGTACCTATACCATTACTGTATTTATATAATTCTCATGTCCTTTGAGAGATTGCATCTCCAACACTAATAATAAAAAAATAAAAAAAAATAAAATATTACATTGGGCACACATGCACCACACTCTCTCGCAGATTGACCTGTAACAACTTAGTGCAATCTCTGCACATATCAACCAACACATTATGAATGGCCAAAATGTAACTATCAACATAATATTTGTTAACAGCACCAAAATACTCTATAGCATCGATTGCAAGGCAAGACTCAAAAACTTTAGAAGCTATTATTATACAAAATAAACAGTTCATATTTAATATTATTCATCATAAGATACAGTATCTTGAAGTGCAAATGATATAATTGATGTGCACACATATTAGTATTAAAAATTAAGAAATAAATTGATAAAATTAAAAAAATTTAAATTGTAATTTTTTGTGCTGCTCCATTCCCAATAGCATTTACATATGACATCATGTTAAACCATTTAAAACATTCAGCATCTAATACCAAGATAAAGACAAAAGAGTTTAAACTATGACACAGACACCATGTTGGTTATTGACAATGACTGGAAAGTTGAAAATACTTGGATACAAATAACAAAATATGAACTTTGGACAGTTTATCCACAACAATGAATATAATACTCAACATCTTATCCAAAAGTTGGAAAGGTATAATAAAAAATTAACCAGACAAACCTTGTTGGTTCTTTATAATCAGACTTGAGCAGGGTATGCATTATATATATATATATATATATAAAATTTCTAATTGGAGATACAGATTATATATTTCTTCTGACATATGACAAACTTAAAAACAAAACAAGATATTGTAAAGTTGATGGAGTGATGGGAACACAATGGTAGAAATTGTGAAAAAGTTGGACAGAGATCATAGAACAATCAAAAATGAAATTAAAAACGTTTACAAGAAAGGAACAAGAAAATAAAATAAACCTGGATTAAAGAATGTTACTAAAAGAGACATGGAGAAAAAAAAAAAAAAAAAAAAAAAGAGAAGTAAGAAATTATTCAAGACTGCTGTTGCTAAGAACACTAGTGTATCTGTACCATAAAAAATTATGGGAATTGTTACAAAGTTTTAATAGTGAGAATCAATGAAACAAAAGTCTTGAAACAATTTGAGATTCAATAAAACTGAGATAAAGAATTCAAAACTAAAATTGACGCCAATGAACCGTTTAATTAATCTATTCCCTTTATATATTATTATTTATTTATTTTTTTTTTTTTTAGACATTCGATGGTGTCTAGGATTCATTGTTCAATATCTTTTCATGTTAAAAATTGTGTTTAACATAATAGTAAAATGGAAATATCTCTCAAAAGAAAAAGATTAGCAACAGAATGATAGATGGCAGCAGCAACAACAACAAAGCCTATTTTAAGACCAAGTTGAGTCAAGAGGACTTGTTTGTCAGGTGTAGATTTTACTAAAATAATAACCAAAAAAAATTACTCTTTCCTCTTAATAGTAATGTAAAGGTTTTGATGATAAAACTTAGTTTTTGTGAAGTTTGGGCCATTTTTTCATCATAACATGCCATTTTTCAGCAAATTTGCTAACAACCCTTCTTTAAATTTGATGACAGTGGCAAGATAAATGCAGAAAATGATTCTAAGTTCTTGGACAAGACACCTTTTGAGTGGTAAAAGGTCACAACCAAGAAGTTTTAAGCTAAAGAGTATGTTTATATTGACAATGTTTTTTCACACTTGTCAAAGCAGCCTACTGCCCACCTTGTCAAAAAAAAAAAGGGGGTGGTGGTGACAGGGGGAGCATTTCAAAAACATCACAACAATGGAATGGCTCTCAGTGTCTACAGATAATAAACCAATAGAAAATGTGTAGTTCACCATTTAAAGAGATTTATAAGAGATTGTAAAGCAATATTTAAGCAAAGATCATCTTTGAGAAGCAATAAAAACCAGTGCATGTTAAGGATGAAAGAGGAGAAAGATTAAAATCAATGAATAATATTCAGAAGGTTTATAAAATATCAATAAGCTCATATAAATGTGTAAAAATAAATTTATTTAAGTATATTGTAAATGCTAACCAAAAAGATTTTTGTATCCAATAGATTTGGGACTTATGAATGAAAGATTTTCATTGCCATTTGTTTTCAAAACAGGTTAGCAATATTTTCAAAGGAGATAAATATTATTGGAAACTCACAATAAGTTGAAAATTTTCACAAATAGGTTGGTTAATAATTTTATGGTGAAAATATTGATTTGTGCAATAAAATCTGCTCTCACAGGTAGATAAAAGGAGACAGGTATTTGCAAAAGGAATGTTAGGAATACTCAGTGGAAAGTAGACATCTAAAAAAAAATTTTTTAAATTTAAAAAACTGTCTATGAGATGAGGTATTGTAATTATTTACATTGTTTAGACTGTTGTTCTCATCTTTATTGTCATTCACATTTCAGCTGCAGTATACTTCAGCATTCTTCAGGTGATGTACATTAGAATTTCAAACCGAACACTTTACACACAACTCTTTCGGTCAAGTCACTGGATTACTTAACACTTTTATCCACTTATCAAACTTCAAATGTATATCACCTGAAGAAGGCTGGAGCATATGATGGCCAAAATGTCATGAATATGACAAAGATGAGGACAACAGTTCAAACAATGTAAATAGTGTAAACATCTAAAAGAAACATTCAGTGGAAAATAGACAAAAAAAAAAAAAAAAAATTATAATCATACAGGTGCATTAGTAAATCTGCAACCTACAGATGAAAAAGCATTTATTTTTATAAAAATATTATTCAGTATAATCTCCTTTGTCAATGCACTTAATCCAAATGCAACATATAATTTTAGATCAAACTTAATCACCAGTCATTTTATTATTTCAGTTTAATTTTTAGTGTCTATCAAAAGTTTTTTTTTTTCCAGACCTTTACTCCAAAGGCAATTTTATGTACATATCTAAAGCCTATTAATATTACATTATTAATATTACATTATTAATATTACATTATTAATATTACATTATTAATATTACATTATTAATATTACATTATTAATATTACATTATTAATATTACATTATTAATATTATTATTAATATTACATTATTAATATTACATTATTATATTAGGTCAATCAATTTTTTTTTTTCTTTTTTTAAAAATAGACCTTTACTCCAAAGCTACTTTCCCATTCTAAAATAATATATAATTTCACTATATTATTAATATTATCAATATTGTTTCAAATGCTATAATTGTGATTACATGTATATTGATCCTGGCAATTACTGTATATAGGCTGTCTTCATGTATAGTGTGTCCCCTAATTATTTTGCATGAATTTTAACCTC